GGCCAACAATGATGGAAGAGGAAGAGACGAGAAGAGCCTTAATTCTCCGAGGCAGGCGACGATGGCCGAGCAGCCCTCTTCCTCCTTCCCCCGGGTATTTCGCACTACTTCTTCCGGGGGTCAAATATCTCCTCCAGGAGTCTGGATGAGTTTGTTTTCTTTTTAAGGATGCGAGATGCTTGATAAAAGATTTGGTGGCGTGCCACGGATTCCGAGAACGGAGCGACGTGGGATGCCCGTCCCTCGAGGAAGCCGAAGAAGCCTTCATCCGCTGCGACTTCAAGCTCTGGGAAGCCGTCACCAAATGCGCCCTCCGCAGGTTCCAACAGGTAAAAGCATCCCGAGGCTCTCGTGCTCGTTTTTTCTTCCTTTCGTCATACATTGGGTTTTATGGCCTCTCAGCTGACCCATCTGAAGAAGTCCCTTCCCGATTGCGAGGACGAAGAGGTGAAAGAGGCCTTAACCAACGCCAAAGGAGATTTGTGCGCCGCTTTTAGCATCTTGAAGGAAGGGAAACGCAAACCGTACACCCTGTATGACCGCCGAGAAATCCGGCTTTCAATTTCGTCGCTTCCCCCCCCCTCACCTCCATGTCCTTCCTCGCATTGTTGAAACGTGCGAGATTGTTGGATGGTTTCTAGGTGGGGACCAGACATGGTGGATCTGTTCATCGATCGATCCGGTCAGACTCGGAAGAATTGTGCAGCGGAGATGGGAAAATTGAAGCCCGCATTCCAAAGCTCGCCTTCCTCCCAGTTCTACGCGCCCTTGTGTGAGTCCCCGAAGCTCTTTATTTTACGCTCATGGCTGTCATTTCGAATAACTGACGGTCGACATCGAGGAACATGTTTTAGGCTTTGCGTCACGATGGCAGCTTAAGTCTTTCGAAAGTCGGCCTGGAAGAGCCCTCGATCATGACGGGATCGCCCACGGATCCATATTTACGGGAGACCAGAATTTTTACCGATCTGTTGGTCTCATCCGATTCAAATCGGAGAGATTTCCAAAAGTATATATTTGCATGAGGTTTCATTGATTCTGTCTGATTGAGGTCCGATGGATAAGAGCAAAACTAGAATCTCGGTCGAAGCATCAAATAGTTATTTTCCCTTAACTCCCTCTCAGTTTGACGAAGCATTTGCTCCGCGGTATCACCGGACATCATCTTATAAATATTATGTTTCCACGGACTACATATTGCAAATATTTTTCCATCCCTGGGCTGGATATAATCAAACATTTGGCCTCCTTTTGGAACAAAATGTCTCTCTCGCACATGCTTCAAGACTCTCCCGAAACTTTGCGACTAAGTTCTAAAAATTCACAGTATCGGTGCGATGAATCCAGCTCCATAGATTTCGTCATACAAAATGTCAGTTCCATCGAGACCCCTAAATAAAGCAGTGTAGCCTCCATATAAATGAACTTCGTCGGTGAGTCAGTTTCACCGCAACGGTTCAGTCGAAACTCCATTACGAAATCGGAGTGGTCGTCCTTCGATTGGTCAAGGAAAAGATCCAGTTTTTCCGTATTTTCTGAACTTGTAGTCGGTGTGGTTTGTGCGATATCGTTTTTGCGACCTTCAGTCGCCTCCAACACACAAATATGTTGTCAAGGGATGGTGCCCACGTTAAATAGACCGCTACATCTGGAGGAGCTGCTTCTCCTTGTATATTAGTTGCATACTTATTGGTGGTAGTGCGCATCTTTGGACCTAAACGAATATATATATGATGAAATTACCGGCAGTAATTCCATAATTTCATCAATTCAGCACTTGTGCCCCCTCTCCCTACACATGTTACTTAATTGCCGGGCATTGGAAATGGGTGAACCCGGTTGGAATGCGTTTTCTTTCTTCCTTTATCCAATGGACAGTGACCGACCACTATGGCACCAAGCTCTTCCCCTTCATTTAACTGTCACAAAAGCCGGGGTTCTGAAGGCTCAGGCGTACATCCTGCCTGTAACTGTAATTGCCTCCGCGCCCCCCCCCCCCCCCCCCCCCCCCCCCCCCCCCNTAACTGTAATTCCCCCCCCCCCCCCCCCCCCCCCCCGTGTGGGTCTGGAACAGTGTGTATCATCTTTAAATCTTTACATTCCACTGTCTCGCCCCACGCGACATAAACAGCACAGTGATGGCGCGCGTGGCGCGACAGTGGAGTGCAAAGGGTTCATCAAAATTATAGCTATGGTGCTCCGGGATGGTGCTGTCACGAATTTCTCTTCATCGGTCACAAGTGCGAAGAGAGGAAAGACCATATGGAATAGGAGCAAATTTAATTTTTGAATTCCATCTCGATTCAATCCCAATCTTGGACTAATGCCCAAATTTCGACACGATGCAGATATTTCCTCAGTTTCCTCATTTCAATTAATAACGAAGCTCATGTGCAATTTCCCGCACAGCGTTTGTACGTCCCGAAGATATCTCAGAGACGAGTGAGAAGTCCCAGGCATTACTCGTGGGGGACATATTAGGGATATCAAAATATCTAGGCGTAAAGACATCCCAAGGATGTCTTTACGCCCAGATATTCATCCCGAGGATGTTTTTCTTGCACCGCAAGTTTATCTCAAAGATGTCCCAGAGATATCGCCTGAGGAAGGGGTTTCAGGCCTATCGCCTGAAGCGATTTCGTATTCTACCGTGCAGGACAACCCTTTGCTCTCTGAGATGTCAATACTTGACCCTCTAGGACTCACTAGTTATTGACTCACTGGAGAATAATAGCAAAGAGGGGGAATGCGTTACTTAAAAATCCCCATGACAGGACATCTCCATGGAGCGAAATTCACTCCTGTTTTATATATTTTTTTAGAAGTCCCTCAATCTCGTTGACGAGATATTAAGGCCTTACTTTTCCCTTATACGAAGCATCGGGTCAAATCTCCAACCAGGCTAATTGTTCCCAGACATGCCGATCAGACATCATTACTGAAAAAAATAACGGAATAAATTAAAATGAAAGCCTCAAAATTTTCACTTTTCTTAGTGTCAGTTTTCATAATGTACTGAACGAAAGTCATTACTTCTCCCCTGTACAAATCAAGTTGATAAAATTAATATAAAAAATCTGCGTGTAAAGATCAGAGCACGTGGGAGGCATCTTCCGTCAATGTTATGCAGCTGAATTCAGCAGAGTCCTTCGCTCGCAGGTTGCGGATAGGTCCTTCAAAACACGGAGATATTTCCAGGGATCTCCCCTGCATGTCCCAAGGCCTTCACAAGATATCCTGAAGACATCTTCATTCGAGCACTTTTCGATGCTCAACAGGGATATCTTAAAGATTCCCCATTCGGGACATCCAGAAGAAGACGACTGGGGATGTATTCAGAACATCCATTTTGGGATATTGAGAATCGTTCGACCTAAGATGTCTCTGACGTGTCCCGAAGACGTCCTTTTCGAGATGTCGGAAACCGTTCGACTGAGGATGTCTTTGGGATGTCCCATAAAGACCTTGGGACAAGGACGTGCATACTGTGCGGGTTATTCCCTGAATAGAAAGCCAAGATTCGCCTGAAGTCTTATTCATATTCAAGGCGTTCCACGAAGTAGGCGGATTTCAAACCTCGTCCGCAGATGCTGTGATGTGAACTGTAACCTTCAACTTTCCTTTGATGGAAGGAAAGCATTTTTTCCCTTCATGGTGAAGAAATAGACATATGACTCTTCCTTCTTTCCGATTTCAATTTTCGGTACCGTCAAGCTTCAAATTCCTGTGTTCCGGGCTGCAGCAGAAAATTGTGCTGTCAATTTAATCACCATGAATGGAAATTAATTCCATGCATCACAGGAAAGTTAATATGTACTAATGTCCTAACGTAGTATACTTTATGCCAAAAGTTTCCGCTGGACTTTTATCAACTTTTGGGTGGTGATGAATGGAGTAAATAACTGCGTTGGCGAACGTTAGCGAAAGGGATGTTCACATAAAGAAAAATGTTTTACAGTTCGAAAACACCAACGGACCTATTCTTTCGAGAAGGTAACATTTCAAATACTTTGATAATGCTTCGGTTAACGATAATGAGAGAGCAGCTGCGGGGAAGACCGAACGAATACGTTCCAGTTGTAAGGGCAACGGATCCATTTTAGATCATTTTATATTCTCGGTAAAATAACAGACCGTGCAGTGGCGAAGATTCCGCCAATGGGGAGGGTCTTAGATAACGTAGGAAATTCTACCACCCAGAGCCCCCGTCCCCCCGGGGTAGAATTTTCCTCGCTTCTCCTCGGCAGGGGGATGATGGTGAATGGATTTAGGCCAGAGATGAGGGCTTGAACCAAACTGAGGGGATGACAGGCACAGCGAGGGGAGGCCTCCAGCCCCCCCTTTGCTACGCCACTGGGAAAAGGTGAGGAAATGTTTTTCGATCTTCGTGCTGTCGCAACGTGACCTTGCGGGGGACAGGAAGAGACAAATATTTCTCTTTCCCTCACCTTTCTCTACCCTCTGGAGATAAAATCTCGCAAACACGACGTGCACGGCAGACGATTTTTAGGAACTGGTTCCCCTCTCATCCCCCCTCAAACCTGTTTGTGACGCAAGTTATGCGGGCAGATTTTAATTTTTTATTTGCATCCGATTTCTACGTCATAATGTGCGTTTATCGCCTACCCAACATTTAGTCGCTTCTCACCTTAATGGTTCGGTGAAAATGAAGATGAGGCTTTGCCGACATTAACCCTTTCCCTGACGTCCACTCGAATTCAAGTGGAGATCCCCGAAACGTGGATCCGAAACGTGAAACGTGGAAAAATGGATTGGATTCACCCGATTCACTCAACCTACCCCCCCTCCCCCCCCCCACCCCCCCCCCCTCGAGACCCATGACAGACTAGGTTTTGAAAGGAGGCAGAATTGGTTGCGCACTAGAGAAGGGATCGGTATAATCCACACATCACCGACTATCGTATCGAACTTCAGGCGACGTACTCCGAATGAGAAAAACCTTTTCAAAGTTTACAATCACAAATCCTGGAGCAGCTGACATGTTTCGTAAAACTAGAGTATCCCTCTTCTTATCGGTAACCATCGCGTCACGGTGAGTTGTGTTAAATTGGCACCCTTCGAGCAGCTGACTTTTAATGAATTTCCCAGAACTCCTTCCCTCTCCTGCTCATTCACTGTCAGCTGAGCGTATTCAGAGTTTCTGCTGTCCTTTCCTGGCTGCTAAGAATATAGCTCTTATAATCCTCTCATCCAATGAACCATTAATGAGAATATGTAAACTGCTGGTTTGAGCTGAGCTGGCTGTCCCAGACCAAAATCGCAACTAAAATTCTTCGTGATATCTACTTCAATCCAACGACTGCCAATAAATGCTGCGTAGGAGCGTCAAGTTTCCCTTTGTCTCTTCGTTCGTTTAGGGAATGTGGTAAAGACACCTCCACTGAATCCGCTACCACAGGCACAGCACGCCGAGTCGCACGGTCGACCGATCACGAAGCGCCCGGAATTGTTCCAACGGATGGACCAAGAGCGGCCGGGGTCGGATGCGGAGGTGAGTCCGTCCTCGCCACTGCCTTCACCCCTTCCGCTCTCGCTTCCATGCAAGCCGGCCGGGGTGGCGTTTCAACAATGCCAGCTCTGCGTGAGCAACGGGGAGAGCCTCGAGTTTGCTCGCTCTCATCGGCTCAAGGATGATATCGGTCGCGTCATCTGCCCTGTCCTTCGCAAATACACTTGCCCTTATTGCTTGGCTACAGGAGATCATGCTCACACAAAGTCCTACTGCCCCATGGTGAACCCCAGCGGGAAACGAGCCGCGGCCATTGCCGTCCAGCTCAAGAATACCCCACGGAACGCATCCGGACGCTCTCGGAAGCAATAATATGGCTTATTGCCATTACGAAGTAGGTGGCGATCCTCCGTCTCCACGGAATACCTCGATTCTTTGTTGATGAGCTCATTCCTTTTTTTCATTCGTTTATTAGAGATACATAAAGTTATTGAGGAAAATTTGGTTTTTGCATGACCTAGCGAAGGGAAAAACAATGATTGAATATTGAGAAATTTGCTATTACTGAATTGCACTTTGAGATCGCTTGCTATTTTTTATTCGAGGACTCAGTTTATTGAGCGAAATTCACTCCGGATTTGATTTTGATCGCGTATTCCAGAAAAAAATCTATCTTTATTCCTTTCCGCGGGTCTTCTATCAAGTCTTATTGTAATGCATGTTATTTACCGATATCATTGACCGATATCATTGATGCTGTTGGCTTTCAATTAGCTTTATAATTTATTGAATAAACCTGATTTTGGCATTCTCACATCTTTCATCCTCCCGTATCAGCTGATGAAGCTCATGGACTGACTCATTGATTCCTTGATGTATATATGTCATTTTAATCTGAAAGAATCAAACCAAAGCCAAACAGCAAGAAATGTCATACAGGCCTGTATTTGCACTCCCGGGACTAACTACAAAGAAAACCACGAGGTGCGACATTAGTGCAGAGCATAAAAGGGTAAAGAAGTTTCGGAGTCGGATCGGGAACATTCGGATAAATTTGATTGGCCCCCATTTATGGATGAGAATTCTAGAACATAAAAGCGATTTGAAGGAGCCGAAGGGGCCGAGAGCTCCAAGTTGAATGCTTCTCAAAATCACCTCCAGAGGGCTCGGCTCAAAAGAGCAATGGGGAAATGTGATAATAGAGGGGAATGGGTCGTAAAGTGAGAGAGCTCCGGACGGTCGTTAGGCCAATAAAAGATGCCCTCGAGGAGGCGATAAAGAGGGCGAAAATAAGTTTCCGAACTTGAAAGAGGATCGGCATCGGCTTGGGTTCCCCTGCATTTTCTGCAGAGAAAGAGAGCCAGATGACGTGCGAGGGGAGGGAGACTGTGGTATTCCGATCCGGTCGTCTCCGATCCCTTGTGTCCAAATGCACCATTCCAAGAAAATACTTCGTGCTCTCCCGAGCTTGAGTGGATATCGCCCTCTCTTTGTTCGTTGCTCGAAATTCCGCGCACGCATCACGACGATTTCCTCACGAAAGGTCTCTTAGCTCCCCATGACTTAGGATAAAATACATGACGACTCATGGAGTTTCGATAGGGCGATCGAGGCAAGATGGGAGGGATCGCCCGTCCGCTACCTCTCCACTGCTTCGAATTTAATGGTGTATTTCAAGGACGAGTATCGTCGAGTATCGTACGAGTTTCTCCGGTATTCCCTAGTTCTTTCCTCATTTGCTGGCGATGCTGGTCCAGATTTCGCCTCTTTTGACAGGCCTTGGATACACGCCTGTCGACGCCCTTGGATACACGCCTCATCGTTCTCATTTCGAAAGAGAACTCTTTTTTTTTGTGTGTTTTGGGTAAGGGCCGCATTGAACTGTAAAGAGAAAACGGGACCTTTCACTCACCGCTCACCGCGGCACAAGAGATGCGGATAAACAAGAGGGGGATCGAGACACAATGGCAGTTTTTGAAAGCAGATGCAATAAGACAATACCCATGGTAACGGAAACAGGAATTGACCCTTTCTGATTGGCGACTCCATCGAAACGCCCATCTCGTCTGCAATGGCTTTTTTTTTTTCCAGGAACGAAGAACAAAACGATCGAGGAGTTCTTTGATCTCCAAAATCGAATCCATTTGCCGTTCTTCAGTGCAGGTAAACGTGAATCTTGTACCGTTCACCCCTAAAGATGAAGCCGCTGTGGGAAAGTTGTTTTTGTCGGAACCCGGCAAATCCAGATGTACAGGAAGACAAGACTTGGTAAGTCGATATCCGGAATGCAGCGGCATCTCTGGACCTCCATTAAAGCGGATTAGCACCTGTCAGGTGAGTTGATGGAAAGAGGCCCGATTTTATTACCCTCCAAGGACCGACGCACTTAGTAAAATATGCAGAAGTTTCAGGAATGGGAGATGTATGGACAGAGCCATAAAAAGAGGAAATGAGTTTACAAACTTCCCATTGCGAAAATCACAAATCCCATATATCATAATCTGCAATGACACTCTTCTGAGAACGTCATTACCCTTTGAGCCTTTGACAGTCTACCGCCTGCACAAGGATTCAAGATATTGACATTTTTGTTAACTCTCGATGAGCCGGTCACCTTCATATTTCGTCTGCCGGAACAAGACCCAACTGAATTCCAGACTAAACATATGATACAATGATATATAATTAAATATATGTATCAAGGAAGATTCGTGTTCGGCAGGAGCCCGAAACGAGTGGAATAAGCGAAGATGCGCAGAACAAGTCCGTGGGAAGAATACTTTCAAGGAAAAAATTCTCTGAGGCGAAGAAACCCGACCCATAGAATCCATCTCGAAGAAACCCGACCCATAGAATCCATCTAGAAGAAACGCCACATTTCGAGTCGTACTGATGAAATTTTAAATATCTAAATACCAGAGATTTAAATTCCAGGGAATTTTTACATATGTAGCTATGAGAACTACGCGATGACGACGAATTCATTTTCAAGAATCGCTCTAAGTTTCCTCTTTTTCTTTCTGCGCCGCGTCGAAGCGAAAGCGGGAAGGTTAATTTAATCCTTTTGGAGGGATGTCTGAATGCTTAAAGAAATTTTGAGAACAATGACAAGTTTGGTAATGAAATGTGACATAGTTGCAGGTCTCGTACGCTGATTATAACAGGACAAACACGTGTTTGAGTGTTAATTGCCGAATCAGCCAAAACCATGGGTAAATTCGGTCTTCTACTTCGAAAATTCTCCAGACCTCAGAGAAGCCTGCGACGAATTTTTTTTTTTTTTTTTTTTTTTACAAACGTAGCTTTAAAATCGAATATCGATAAATCAGTTTTATTGAGAATGTTGAAAGGTCAATCAATCTGCCATCAAGTCGCAATGAGAATGAAAAGCTTCACACGCAGAGGAGGATAGGGAGGACAGGGGAGGATAGGGGAAGGCAGGTAAGGACAAGGGAGGATAGCGCAAGGGAGGACAGGGGACAATCCCATGGCAAAGGCGTAGGCGGCAGACTGGTTCTTCGCCTCTTCTGAGACTCCTCGTCGCAGGTAGCATGCAATTCCCTCCTTCGGGACGGCTAAGAGGGGGAAAATATTTCCTTCGCTTAATTATTAAAATTTACTTCTTTTTTTTTCCAGAAACACAAATCACGATGCACTCTTTTCCACATTCCGCTGTGGTTGGCTGTAGAATACGACGAGGACTGTTCTGAAACCGACCAAGGTGGGAGGACGCGCCACCATGCAAGTAACCTGAATATAGTTATTGTTTAAGCGGGTAAGCCTAGAATAGAGCTGCCAGTTTTACTTAATCCTGGATTACATTTCTGTATAATATCGATGGGGGGGTTCCCCTAAATGCGGGACAGCTGGCAACCTTAACCTCGAGGTCTCTTTTCCCACGATATGACGGGTGCAGACGCAATACGATTACGATTTCATTTGTAAATAGCCAGGGGCAAGGAATGATTCAGCGAGATCACCGTGGCATTTCTTCATAAATCACTATATAAATCGGTATGAAGACGTAGGGAAGGGGCAGTTGATAGCGCAGAACCGGATAAAAGGGATCAGACATGCTCGTGCATCCGTGAAAACAAAAACATCTTGACCGAATCAACAATGAATGTGAGCGAACCCCGTAACTCGAGAGAAAATGAGCACGAGGGGAAGAGGGGGAGTCGAGTGGCTGTTTACAAGTAATTGCAAATAGACCTTGGCTCAATGGTGTCACGGAGACGATTCAAAGCCACTAGGGGAGCTCAGAAAGTAGGTACACTCCGCAAATACACAAGATAAGAAGCATCCCCTCGATAAGTCTGCTTTCTTCACCTGACCACCCTCCGAATTTTTCGCTCTCGTCTCGTTTGTGACTGAACTTCCGAATAACGTCATAATAAGCATTTATATGCATAAGTTTGAAATACAGGTGACTCTCATTATACGCGGGGGTTGCGTTTCCGAGAATCGCCGCGTATATCGAAAACGCGTAAAACTTCCACGGCTCCTGCTGATAGGGATAGTGATAGTTTCCACGCACCGAAATGAAACCGCGGATATGCGAAAACGCGGATAACGAAAGCGCGTATAGCGAGAGTCACCTGTACTGAAAAAGCGAGAATTCCATGTCACTAAGACCAAGATTCAGCCATTACGATGTTCCTTGAATTTCAATTGCAAAAGTAATCGCTGGGGTCACGTCCAGCCCGTAAGAAGGATGTGGCGTTAAATCCCAGCCCAGTTGAGTGATGATTTCAGTTGCGATGTTGGTTGTGTGCGAGCGAGCGTTATCATGCTGTAGGACCATTCCTTGCTGCTACATGTAGAGTTTTTTGTTTTGTTTGTAAAGCAAGCAGAAAATCCTTCCTTAAAATGTCAGAATATCCTTGCTTTGCAACATTGACGCCCTGAGGCACCGGATGCACCAGAATAACACTTTCCACGTTAGAAGACATGACCCCGTAAAGGAGTTTCCTTGCAGCTTTTTCTGGAATGCTAGAGCACGATACCTGTAGTATGATAACGCTCGCCCGCTCGCTCACAATCAACATTACTACTGCAACCATCACTCAACTGGGCCTGGATTTAGCGTCACATTCGCGATGAGTTCACTCACTCCTATTAGAGCCCTGGCGCTACGGGTGTATTCGATTCAAGGGACATCGATTGAATACCAGTTCACGTCATACGTAAGACTAGGAGAAACGTTAGTTCCACCGCTATCGGAAGGCTAATAGAAAGCAATGGTTTGCATTCAAAATGTCTATAAACTCATCGATACGATACGATACGGTACCGAACGCAAGAGGCTCCTTGCCAATAACTGCGTCCTGACTCTGGAAAGTCAAAGCTGCCCAACTTTCGGATCGCGGGCCCCCACCCTCCAGACCGCAGACGTCGGTGGCCATTCGTCCAGCATTTCATCGACAGCCTCGAATTTCGACCTTCTCTTCATAACGATCTTGAGACAAGACTCCAAACAATATTCGTCAGGATTTCCAGTCAAAGTCCAGAATTTGACCATCATTTGTGCTCCCTAAAGTCTGTTTTCCCCCCCATGTCTGATCCGTGAAAATGGGAGCGATAGTTTCGCTTGACGAAAGCGCCATGGTTACTTTGCGGGACAAGCAGAGCTGTGCCTGCCCGTGCGGCGCCCCACGCCACGAGTGACGACCATTAGCCTAAATAGTATCGGACGGGAGCTATTCAGGGGAGCCTGTGGCAATTCAAAAGCAAAAGTTGTGTTCGTCCCCGACGCAGGTGAAAAACAGCCAAAGGAGCTGGTTAACCCTTTCAGACCTGAATTAAAGCCACTATCGGAATAATATCCTTTTTAGCATTTTTGAGCTCTTTCGTGATTGTAATTTAAATTTTCGTGCTTTATATGTAATTTTCATATTTTTTATTTATAAATTTACCATATATTATGTATTATACATTTAATTGAATAACTGAAGATTACAAAACTAATGGGTGAAAGAAGGCCTCTGATGGAACTGAGCCATGCATAATTGCGCTCGTTGTAGCGCAAAGTCACGAGAATCCAAAGAAATTGCCATAGACATAATGTAAATGCAATGTCCATTGGAATGTACGCCAGGTGTGAAAGGGTTAACACAAGTCATAGTGGGAACACCTTTACTTTTTTTGTAGACTGCCGCAAGAATGCCCACGCAGTTTCACAGCTTGTTAAAAGGTCTTTTCCAATGGGTCGGTCATTGGATTGATTGCATAGGTGGAACGCACATTTTTATCTGACAAAATTGGAACTGATTCTCGAAAAGGGACTGACATTGAAGTTCTGCAGGCAGAGCTTCAGGTACAAGCCAAAAAGTGACATTCTGACAGGATTCACCCTTTGAATATGTCTTGAATGATGGTTGTTAATAGTTGCTCGATGAATCAAATCTGATGCGTTCAATGGTTTAAACTAGATTAACATTAGAACTACCGTACCGGTCATTTTGACTGCTCGCTGTTTTTAAATGCACTTTACTCCGCTCGTTTGGCAACTAAGGGCCTACGCATTTTCGATTTTTCCTGTCTATTTATTCAACATCCTGAAACAGCAATAGACCTAGGGCTGTAAAACTATAGGATAACGTTATACCCAGAACCACCAAAGCGGTCATTTTTACCACCATAGCGAAATCAATGTATTTGGTTAAGTGAGCAGCTCTCTGATCTACAGTGAGTATGCGTCCGACCTATTGACTTCACGCGGTCCACCTGCTGTGGTCACGTGACTGACTCGCTATGATCACGTGCCTTTGCTCGAAGCTGAGCTTCAGAGCAGCGCATACGTCCTGCGCGTGATACAACAGGATCCGTTTTTCTGCCGCGTTGAGATTTATTTATGTGACAACTTTTGCGTATCTGAGGTAAAACTTTTGTGTAATGAAAATGAATAGAACAATAAAAGAACGCATGACCGCACTGAAGTGCTTGCTGTTATTACAGAACTTATCTGAAATTGAATTTGGAGACGATATTGAGGTAGGCCTAGATAGTGATAAAAATTACTCTGATCATGATGAGGTTCGCGTAGGAGAGGGCCTCGACAACAACGATAGTGTTGACATTTTATTTTCCAACATTCCACATTTTGAACATTTCTAATATATTTTCGATTTTTTTCATTTTTCCAAATTTAGTCCAGTTGTTCATGCAATGATATTGTTCATGCAATATCACATAATAATGCTTTTCTCCGACTTAATACAACGGTCGAAATGACCGCTGCAGTACTTCTAGGTATATACCTTCCGTAGTTCTAGTGTAAGCAATTTTCTTGTGTCTAGAAACACAGGCTTCCGCCCATAATTTTGCAATAACTTTTCTGATTACTATCCGACACAACACGGTGACATGCCGGGAATGTTCCCAGCAAGACGACTTGTCCCAAGGTCTTTATGGGGCATTCCAAAAAAAAATCGAACGCTTCTCAATATCCCAAAAGGGATGTCCATAAGAAAAGAAAATCTTTAAAATATCCCTTTTGAATATCGAAAAGCGCTCGACTGATGCTGTCTTCAGGATGTCTTGCGAAGACAGAAGGACATGTTGAGGAGATCCCTGGAAGGTCTCCGTGCGTTGAGGGACCTATCCGCAACCTGTTCGCGGAGGACATGGGTTCCAGGTGCATAACTTGATAACCCTGATCTCCATCCTCAGATTTTTTATATCGAATTACTAAATAAATAAATAAATATTGTCTACTTGATTTGTACAGTGGAGAAGTAATGACTTTCGTTCAGTACATTATGAAAACTGACACTGAGGAAAGTGAAAACATTTGGGGCCTTCATTTTACCTTACTCCGTAATTTTTTTTTCAGAAATGACGTCTGATCGGCACGTTTGGATACAACTATCCCGGTTGGAGATCTGAGTCCATGCTCCATGTGAGAAGAGTGGGGTTTATTAATCATGCCTAAAAAATTGGGGGGAATCTTAAAAAGAAATAGAGCTACGTTTCACCCCACGGAGGTTTGTCTCCTATCTTTGGGATTCTCAAGGAAAAAAATTCCCTCTTTTCGGTTATTCGCCAGTGAGTCAATAAGTTAGGACTGAGAAGTCCCAGAAGGTTAGGTTCTGAGATATCTAAAAAAAAAAAAAAGTAAAAGGTTGTCCTGCACGGTAGGAAATTAATTCGTTTCAGATTTGCTTGTCCTTGGGCGATATTTCTGGGACATCTTCGGGATATGCTTGCTTGGGATGTCTTTACGCTCAGACATTTTGAGATTCCTTGGATGTCCCCACAGGCAATGCCCGAGACTTCTTACTTGTCTCCAGGGGATATCTTCGGGATGTACTTTTGCTGCTTGGGATTGCTGTAAGGTAAAGATTGCTGTAACTTACAACGCACACCTTATTTCTGAACTTTTCTGGCTTCTTTGCTTTACCTCTCTCCTACATTCGTCCCCACAGCAATAATTTTCTCGTAATAGGGAAGTTCCAACTGTCCTCATCCCTCTATTCTGGAAGAAAACACCTCTTAATTGAGTCGCTACACCCCTCCCCATCCCCGATCAACAAATTTCGTGACCAATCCTATCCCATAGATATGTCCTTGATTAGGGTGACCCGGTTTTTTTTTCCGGAAAAACTAGAACTTTTTCAAGAAAATGCCGGAATGATAGTCTCTGCAATGGGAAGAAACCGGAACACCAGGATGGAAAGGAAAACTCAAACCGGGACATAGCCTGAAAAACCGGGACTGTCCCAGTAAAACAGGGACGTATGGTCACCCTGTCCTAGATGCGATTTTATCTGATGATGAATGCCACCTCTCGCGCAGGAATGCTACTTCCGGACTGCCAGACATTCGGGGCATCTTTTAAATGGGTCTTCCCACCCAATAGTTGAGCACCCCTAATCTTAACCCTTCCATACGCTTGCAGCGAACATGATCAATATGGCGTCTCACTGTAATTCAGGGGTCTAGCTGTGCCATAGTGGTAATATAGGTAAATGTATATCTGATGGCCCTACTTCCTAGGTTGGGCCTTGGGGTTTTCACTCAGTTTTCGTGGCAATTCAACGGTAGTCAGTTTTGAAACCTTCGTCTTAGCTATAATTTTCTGCCCGTGTTATGTGAGACAATTTGGACTCGGGATCAGTGGTGTCTTTACAATATAACAAAAACTGCGATCTTGTAGGTTAGGCACCAGGCTGAGCTGCAAAAGCAGGGTAAGAAATAGGATAGGCTCAGGCCTTTGATACAAGAGGGATGTTCAACATGTTTTAGCTACACATGTTTCTTTTCCCATTAGCAAGAGCTACAAACTTCAAACTTGCACTTTTCCTCAGGATGCTCTCGACCAACATCCATGCAGCATTGCATCCTTATATGTGACATTAAAGTGTCCCCATTACTTTGGTTTAGGTACAAGTTACAGCTGTGGACTTGACAACACAGACCATAGCCTGAATTTACAAAGTTTTTTTTTCTCACAGCTTTGCAATTAAAAATGGAAATAACTACGAGCTAATTATCCGGACGCTAGTAACCATGCAAAAAATATACCAGAAGGCAAATGGACTCAAGGCATGTCTTGCTGAAATGGAAAATGTTGCATAATCAGGACATCACCCAAGCATTCAATATAATGCTAACAAATACACCACAGTTGGAGTGTCAAGGATGCTTTAATAAGTTTCTTGACACCCATCCCAATTTTTACTTTATGGAAGAATAAAAGGGTCATTTGACTCCAGTTGATAGCATAGGATATACTTAAACCTAAAGCCTACATTCATAAGTCTAACATGTCTATTGCAATGCCTTGTGTGTGGTAAAAGTCTTTGGTCTGACACCTTTCCAAGTCTGACTCTTTAGAAGTGGATGACCTCCAAGTGCTCCTCCAAGTACAAGAGTAAGCTTTTAAAAAGATGTTGATTTGTGTTGATCAAAACATAAGATAAGTAATATTTAAGGAAGAGAGAGTGTCACACATTAAATATGGGATGCACCAGTTGTGTATCTCCAGTTGTGGAGGATACTCAGTATTCCTTATATATCCTTCTAGTACACCACTGGGACAGCATCTGGAAGTGAGATTGACATGTTGAACTCTGTTGTCTATTTTTTCAAAATGAAATGGAATGAAATGCAAAAATGTAGAACTCTACTGTCAGGGCTGAGTTCAGGCCTAAGGACTAGGCTAGGTTTAGGTTGCCTCAGTGATTGAAGTATTACCTTGCAGACTAGCATTACAAGGCTTTTTTTCTGCCTTAGCAGGTTGTGGAGGCTTTTGACTGCTGTGATTTTCTCTTTTCTGTACTGTTGAGGATGCAGAAAGGAAGCAATGAGGGTGGTAGCAGCAGCAATCATGGCATAGCCAGTGGAGGTTATCGTGATATGAAATACATAGAAGACTATGATTACAAGTTCTGTGAGGAAGTAAGCAAGTATGAAAAGTTGGCTAAGATTGGACAAGGCACATTTGGTGAAGTGTTCAAGGCCAGGCACAAGAAAACCAAGCACTTTGTGGCTTTGAAGAAAGTGCTGATGGAGAATGAGAAGGAAGGTTTTCCTATTACTGCTCTTAGGGAGATCAAAATTTTGCAGCAATTGCATCATGATAATGTTGTCAATCTCATTGAGATTTGCCGCACCAAAGCCACTCAATTCAATCGCTTCCGCAGCACATTCTTTTTAGTCTTTGACTTTTGTGAGCATGACCTTGCAGGTCTATTGTCCAATGTAAATGTGAAATTTGGTCTTGGGGAGATCAAGCAGGTTATGAAGCAGCTCCTAGATGGCCTCTTCTACATTCATCATAATAAGATTCTTCATCGTGATATGAAGGCCGCCAATATCCTCATTACAAAGAGTGGTGTCTTGAAGTTAGCTGACTTTGGTCTTGCTCGAGCCATTAGCTTGAGCAAAAACAAGAATGTGGCCTACACGAACCGAGTGGTGACGCTCTGGTATCGTCCCCCTGAACTGCTTTTGGGGGAAAGATCTTATGGGCCTCCTGTGGATATGTGGGGTGCTGGATGCATCATGGCAGAGATGTGGACACGAACTCCCATCATGCAAGGGAACACAGAACAGCATCAGCTCACATTGATCTGCCAGCTTTGTGGTTCTATTACTCCAGAAGTTTGGCCTGATGTAGAGAAGCTGGAACTTTACAACAAAATGGAGATTCCCCAAGGACAGAAGAGGAAGGTGAAGGAAAGGTTGAAGCCATATGTGAAAGATCAGAAAGCCATTGAGCTCCTGGACAAGTTGCTCACTTTAGATCCTAGCAAGAGGATTGACAGTGATAATGCCTTGGTTCATGACTTCTTTTATACTGATCCAATGCCATGTGATCTAAGCAAAATGTTAGCTCAACACACTCAAAGTATGTTTGAATATTTGGCACCTCCACGTCGGGGTGGGAGGGTTCAAGCTCATCAGCCTCATCTCCCAAAGCCTATGAACTCTTCCACTCTTGAAACAACTTATCATGAACGAGTTTTCTAGGCCAGTCTCATGCAAAGAGGCTCTTATATGAAGCACCCACTTGAAAAGTTGGTATGATGGGTTGCTGCCAGTTGTATTGTCATCTGGGATTGTCACTGTCATTTCATTGGCTTCACTGACAGCTCCCTGTCATAGGATTATGTTGGAATAAATTTGTATTCTTCATTGTTATTCCTTTTGTGTGGAACAGGCTCCCAATATATTTAATTTATTATTTTTTTTAGTCAAGGGAGGTAAATTGGAAAACTAAAGTTTCAATGCTTACCTATCTAACATGTGCATAGTGTTACCAATGTTTCTCCTTTCATAATGTACCTGCTTAACTTCAATGATCAAGTTATCCCTGAAAGATATGATGTAGAGTCCCTTTTTTTGTCATAAGGACTCCTCATGAATTTAAATGTAAAAATTCCTAAATCCTATTTCTCTAATTCTACAAGTTGTGGTAAAAGTGAAGAGTTGTTATGTGTTATATGTACAAGTGGTGAGTTGAGTCCTTTGCTCTCTGTCCTCTGGCATGTGAATTAAAGGGGAAAAGTAAATGAGTGAAAAGGTGACACAAAACTCAGGAACCCAATAGCCCTCTGGAGGAGTTGATGAACTGCTCCAATGCAAGCAGTGCCTTGCAATCCCCAATATGGGATGTGCTGGAGATGACTCCAACTCAAGTCTATCTATACATAATACTGCAATCTATCTGGTATTTGCAGCTATTAGAGAATATCTTGGTTTCCTTCCATTGTCAGATATATTTCAAGATGAACATCTCAGGTCCACCAGGAGGCATGGGCACCCCACCAGGTGCATATGGAATGCCCTCCCCAGTGAATAGACCCATGGGTCAGATGCCTGTGAGTATGGCAGGAATGCCAATGGGTGGCCTACCATCTCATATGCATCAACCTCCCATGCACCCTCCCCAGTTAGGACCCATGATCCATATGCAGCAGCAGCCACCTCATCTCCACCCTCAAATGCATCAGCAAATGCCTCAAATTCATCAACAGGCACATCAACAGCAACAGCAACAGCAGCAGCAGCAGCAGCAGCAGCAACAACAACAACAACAACAGCAACAGCACCTACAGCAAACTGCTCAGCATCCACAGCCTCATGCTGAGCAGAAGCCAGATAGCATCACCAAGGCCAAGTCATTAGTCCGACCGCTCAAGGAATCACTTGCAGTGAGTTTTTGTTATCTTTTAAAGATACTAATCGAAAGCCCTTGTACACACGGGGTGTTTAGACGGTGGCTTTCGAATTTCTTCACTGGATGACGATTGCTGGAGAAAATATTTCTCGATGAAAAAGAATCACGGTTAAATGCACTTGAGAACTGACCCACAAGGCCTCGGCCTTGTGGGTCAGTTCTCAGAGTATTCTCTCAAAGTATTCTTTGCCATTGATGGCATTCGGAATCTGCCTCATTTCCTCGGGAACGTTTGGCCCTGGTACTCGATACTTGAGAGGGAAGGACATCAGTATGACTCTCACGCGCGATTCGCTATCTCTTACGATCGTCGGCGCGGGGGCTTTTCCCACCCATGTTTCTCTGTCGCAGTTTTTGTGGCACGATAAAGGATTTTTTTTTAAATCTGAAAATTCAGGTTGATACATACCTATATGTCCGTAAGAGCCCTGAGGGACAGAACTAAGACGCACTCGGTCAGTCATGAACATGCACAACGAACACGATATTTTAGTCGCAACGATATCCGATGTGACAATTATTGGAAAGAGTATAAGAATATTCGTAGCACCCGGGCGTACAACGGATCCTTGAAATAGGTCTAGCCCAAGTATCACATTCAGCCAGGGACGTAGCCTGTCTGTCCAGGGCTGTCCTGGGTGTCTGGACACCCCCCGAAAAGAAACAAGATATCATGAAACAAGGAGTACGGGAGTGGGGAGGGGGGGTGCGAAAAGTTTCACATATACATTTGAAGTTTCGATTTGCACTCATATTCCACCTTCTGAATACTAGCACTCTTAACCAATACAGTGCCCCCCCCCCCTCCACTTTGCTTCCATTGCTCTACCAGTTTTTTAATTCCAGTTGCAAACCATGATTCAGGAGTAGCTTTTACCCACTACATTATGACTGACTCGAGGTCAGCCCTTGACCCATATCTCTTTTCATGCAAATAAAAAAATTGGGGGAAGAAAAGGGGGCTATTTTGAACTATGAGGTGGGTGGGGTCGAAGTCTCAAAAGGGCTTTCGACGTTTTCTTCATTCCTCCCAGCCCCTCACCTTCCTCGGCCACTTCGTCATCTCATGTTTGAAAGAGCCCCACAAGACACCCCCCGAAATTGATTCCTGGCTACGTCACTGCATTCAGCCTGGCCTGGTCTCACATGTTGTCAAGAGATCTTCTCTTCCTTTCTCTCGTATCAGTTCGTCACCTCTTGTGGAAAACGTTTGCGAAAACTTGAAATCAAATGCTTGCTAATGCCGATAGCCCATATAATGAAAGACCCGCGGGTGATGAAAACGACGAACGCTTCAAGTCCAACTAAGAAGAATTTAGAGCTTCGATGTGAAGTAGAGTGCAGAAAACTGGTGCTGTACCGTAGTATTCAACCAGTTGTCTAGACTGTACAGAGATGGCGCTAGTGCATTCTCAACTCTGATTAACCACAGCAGGATCAAATATCACTATTTTTTACTACATAAAAACGAATTATTACAGAGGTAATCAAGGGCTTTTGAATGATTTACCATGGAGAAATCTGGGTCCAAAATTAATATGAAAGGTCAACTGAGAAAAAAAAGTTTGCACATCTACAAAAAGTTTAGAAAACGAAAGAGCTATTGTCAATTAAAACCAGTTATTAAACCTGGAAGTAGTTCACTGGTTATTTTCCTCCATTTCTAAGGATTTTCCATTGCCCCTATTTATTATTACTTACCTGATGGTATTCTTGCATAGAATGCTGTACGTGTTGCTGCATCTAATCTCCAACAAAATGCATCTATTGATGTTGGGTCCTTGTGAGTTCCTTATTTTGCAGTTATGTGGTTATTGATCCAGTCTGTCTGGGAAAGCTTTCATGGTGGAAAAATGTGTATACATAGGAAAGCCGCTGAGCAGCCACCATTGAAGTTTGATAAGGCATTAGAAGACTTCTATTCTACCTGTGATGAAATGGAGCTGCATTTGGTGAGTCTGGAAATCCTGCAATCCTTTAAAATCCTGCATCCCATTATGGTTTCACAATAACGCCAATATTTGTCATATAGAGGATAGCACAAGCAAGTTGGAGCCAGGCACTCCGAAGTCAGCGCTACACTCCAGTCCCAGTTGCCAACACAAGGATGGACACCAATGCAAGTTCTGAGGCCATCACCTATCAACAGTATGTGAGTACAGTCAAGAGCCAAGTTGCCTACATTCAAGAGATTCATGACTCCCTTATGGAACTGGCCAAGTCCATTACATCAGAATGAACCTGTGTATTGCATGTGTGCATGAAATGAATGAATGGCACATCTGTTGAAAAAAGAAATGCATTTAATTTGGAGAAAAATTTCTGAGAAATGCTCGTGATATAAAGTTGTGTACAACAGGAAGAAATATTGCACATCCCTCAAGAACCTTGGAAGACCATTTCATAGTGGTTTTTTCTTTAGTGAGCAAAGAAAAAGTCAGTTGTTTCTTCCTACCATGCCAAAAACACACATTGAATGCCTGAGGCCAAGTACATATCTGCTGAGAAAGTGCAACTGTAGATATTTCCTGGGGGTAGACCTGCTGAAGCAAGAGAAATAATGGCTTGAGATAGACATGTGACAGGAGCAAAGCCATTGTACAGTTCCGGGTTCACCAAAACAGGAGATCGGAAAAGAAGAGAATCGCATGAAGGAGATGACCTATATTACAAATATGAGGGAAAAACATGCACAGCACTGTCAAGTTTAAAAACACATTTGACCATGAAACATTTCCCGACTAGCCAACATATCTCTGCTCTGAATTTTGTTCTGTTAAAAGAAAAAGACTGGGCTAAAATTTGCAAAAAAGATAATGTAACAAGAAAGTTCATGTTAAGCCCAGAGATGAACATCTCTAGTCCCAGGGCTGATATGTATCACAAAGACAAGGAAGTGACAAGATAAACTCACAGGGGAAGGAAAAGAGAATGCATTATACATCTCCCCCTCCACCCTAGCCCAATATCATCATCCTGGTTTACAAGCTCTTCCAAAAATTTTCATCCCTGAGACAAAAAAATTTATTATTCCAAGATCCAGTAGAAGTTATGGCACTGGCCACGTATTATAAGCCATGACATGGCGGAGACCAAGTTCAAGACAAGTACCTCTCTCCTAGGCAGTATCACAAACTCATTTGTATCACATTTGGCGACGGCGAATACGATCCCAGATATGCTTCTTCGTGGAGTTCAGTAGGTTCTTGCATCCCTGTGAAAGAAAAATACACGAGACAATAAAAACGAAGGAAGACATGGTGGAGGACGGGGGGGGGGGGGGGGGGATGTGGAAAAAGGAGGACGGGAAAGAAATTTAATTTTTGGAAGAGCTTGTAAACCAGGATGATGATATTGGGCTAGGGTGGAGGGGGAGAGAGAGAGAGAGAGTCTAATCTCCCTTCCTATTGGGCAACTGGGCAAGAAACGTGACTGGACTTGGGGAGATTTCTTGACTCTTGCCCTCCTACTCATAAGACAGGCTTTTTCATTGGAAGCTGGTTTTCAAGCAGAGGAAACAACATGAAAGCGAGTCATCCCAACATTCATCTACTGTCTCCTTATTGCAATTACTATGCCATGTCAGCAGTGATAACCATAACATTTAAAGCTTGAAAAGCCAGATTTTCAAAACGGACATCGGCGAGAACGGCCTGGGGGAGATGTTTTTTTTTTGTCCAGCCGTCAAGGGCTGGACTCATCTGTCAAGATTTCCGTCTCCTGCCCGTTCTCTCCTCTTAGGGGAGATCTATTTTTGGCAGATTGGGAAAGACAGTAAAGCAAGCCATTGACGAGAGTGTCGCTGCCAGACGAAAAACCGGCTTCCTGGAATCGTATTTCCACTTCCTTGACCCCACAGGGCTGGGTCCCACGTTTCTGTCTACTCCGGCTGCGAAAGACATATACCATGTCCTCACGATGGAAGATTAAGAAAAAGTTCAATTCATCGTGTTAAGTTAAATAGGCACAGGCATAATAGGGAAGTCATGCGAATGACTGGGTGCAAGTGCGAACGGCGGACCCTTGATTGTCATTGCATTCAGCCTTCAAGGCTTAAGTCGCTCCTTGTGGTGCTGGCTCTCCCAAACTTTCTTTGCAGGAGCTATTTTGGTATGCATCCTCCTGTTCTTACTGGTTCATCCAATCCAACGATGACCATCTAACTGGTTGGTGTAGATCATACTGATTGGACGATCCCAGGCAATCTTTGGCACTGGAGCCACCCAATGAGTTGTGGCGTCTCGCCATAACTCATAGGGAGTCCTGATCTGGACCTTGCATCGCCAACTATGCTTAAGCTATGCTTGTGGGACAGCACCATCTATGCCAGCGCAGCAATTTTAAAGGCGTCCACTACAATGTGTAGACGTGTTCCTCTCCCAGTGAACTTCAGTTGACTCGAGGAAAAAAGGGCTAACTTGACTATTTAACCTCCTTAGAGTGAGATCCGAGTTGATCAAGGATGGGACGGGTGCGCTGCTTTGCAATTCTCGAAGAGCAGCAATGGGACGGGACGTTATCGCGTTCCTGCGTGACCCTCGTTCCTTATCCCCTCACATATACTGCAGAGGGGAGGGAGGGGACGGAGGTTGTTTGTTAGGACTTGGGGAGGAGACAAGGGAGGAAGGGAGTGTATATTCGAGATACGACACCACCCTCCCCTCGCCTCCCCTCCCGGGCCTTGAACTCGCCCATTTCCTCCCGAATATTATTTACACTACTTGATCCTGGCAAACTTTGGTCAGTGTCTTCACAACTAGGTGAAGGAAGACGTGGAAATCAATGGTCGCCAGCTACTTTCGTTTCCACACTCGAAACCGGGAAAACCAGTCACTTGAAAGAAAAAAATTAATGTCCTCATATCTGTCCAGCAGGTCATGAGACCCCATCCTATCCAGCGTTGGAAATGTCCATTTTTTCTCTTCATAGCTTTGACATAACACGAAAGACGCATGCATCGTTATCAGGTTCAACGAACCCGCTGTCTCGTTTCACCTGTCATTCCTTCCCTTTCTCAATTGAGGGCGACAGCTGGGTTAGTCGAACATACCTTCATGCGTTATCCAAAAACCTCTTGGGAAGCATACGAGACGTAGAGGAAGCCATCAGGGTCTTTGAGCTCATTGTAGATTTCCAGCATGGTCTTGCTCATTGCCGCCAAGGACCGATTGCCGACCAAGAGATAAAAGGCTTGTGTGCTGCTCAGCTGCATTCGGTTCCTGGGAATCAATTCACAAAGCATACTCATTTAAATTCCCTTGGGAAAAAAAAAGTAGGACATTGTGAAGTCCATAGATTGCAACATGGACTTCTCTCGGGGAGTGTTGGCTGAAGCCAGTCTCAAAGCCCCCCCCCCTCATTTCTCATGGAAGCCCATGCTAAATTTCATACGCCCATCAGTGCAAGTATGTATCCATTATTTATGCATTTTTACCCAAGCAATACATTTTTGACAGCAAATCTTCGATGGCAGCAAGTCAGCGGAAAGACTACTCCTAGGGTAGTGGCGGAGGATTTGGAGGGGCGTGGAAACAAAAATACCCGCTGGGGGTATAATCCCTGTAATCCTATCTGTCCTACAACCATTCAGGGGTCATAAATCAACACCACACCAGGAACAACTAGGCAAAAGAGATGCAGGTGTTGGTTCCATAGGCAAAAGAGATGCAGGTGTTGGTTCCAAACTCCTAGGTCAACTCCTAGGTCAAAGGTCAACCCAGAAACCTTTCGGTTTCAAGAGAAAAAAGGAAATCGGGCCACACATCACTCTGCATTGCATGGTGTGCCAGAAATGGCACGCTCTGCTTTGCATTGAAACGTATTGCAATTCAATGGCAAAACCAAAACGAAAAGGATAATTTTTTCATTATTTTTCTCATAAACCACACGAAAAAATTGTCAAATTGTTCTTGGTACAGTTAGCAAAGTCATGCATTATAGAGTTAATCCCTATAGTCTGCCTGTCTGCTCGTTCAAATTTCTGCATGATCGAGCCTGGATAAGACTCCTTGGCTGTCTGTCCTCTAATGAGTTTGTTTTGGCATAGTCGATCATTCTTCCGCAACAGAGACCTCCAAGGCAGAAACTGGGGCATGGAAATTACGTCAAGGGTCTTCTTTACTGGATAACTAAGAATCGGTACAGACTTGACGGTGCTCGGACCAGACAAGTCAGCTAGGCCCTTCTTCATGGATTGATGGTGTCGCCCTGGTCCCGTATAACGGATGCACGTGAGACAGGCAAAGGCCTACTTCTTAAACGCACGGTTCCACGTGTTGGACTCCACCTCATCCATAAAGGCCGAGACTTCCCTTCTCAATTCGATGACTGAAGCTCTTCCCTTGGACAGATCAGTCATCGATGCAGGAAGAAAACGTAAAAAGGAGAATTGGATTTCACAAGATCAAGCTCTTTTTCTCAACTTTTGAAAAAGGGGGCGAACTCGTGTTTTCCATTTTTCTCAAGGAATTCCAAGCAGGCAAAAAGAACAATCGCATAAGAGACCCCCGTTGGGACTCTAGTAAACACACCCAGGCGGGGATAGAGGAGAATCGGGGCACTTGTTCTCTTCCCCCATTCCCCCCCCCCCCCCCAGCCTGGGGCGTGGGAAGATTTTTTTCCCTCCTCTTTATGGCCATTTGGAGGAAGGAGTTTTCTTTTTTCTCTGCTGGCTTCCCCACCTTCAAGGCCCCCTTTTTCATTATGGGGATCACCACGTACTCTCTGGAACTCGATTGGCAAACATTCTCATTTTCCATAATTTTATAAATATCCCTATAGAACGTGTGGTCACTAAATACTTCTTGGAGGGAGAGGCATCGATTCATTTCGCTTTCATTGAACACTTCCTCTTGCTATTAAAATGGCCACTTTCCAGGGCAATCGAGGCAGCGCATACTCGTGACCTCGGGCCGAAACAAAGGCAATGAAGCAGTGCGGAGGAAGACGGGAAAACAGTTCCATCCATCCATCCACTTCGTCAGAAGTTGGCAGGGGGCTCGGGAAGGCAAGAAGAAAGCATTCCACCTATCTCGCTCTCTTGGCTTTCCCCTCCTCGTTCGCACACACACGAAAACACCATAAGAAATTCCACACGTTCAAGAGACGGACCCAAGGAAGAGATTAATTCACACCGGAAGCATGAATGCCCCGTCTCGTCGCGTCTCCTTCCCCAAAAACTACCACTTAGACAATCCTGAAAGCTTAGATGCCCCAGGTGATGACGGTTTCCGTCTAATGGGGCTAGGGGTTCTCTGCCCCATCTGGGAAGGGAAAATTGGCCTGGCCTGGCGATGCCCATGGACTGATAGGGTTGTCTCGTCTCCTGACACCTTCCAGACATCCCGGCGCCGATCGGTCGAAAAGAAATGACAGAAATATCAGCAGAGCATCTTTTCAAGTGGCACACGGGAGAGGAAAGCAGGAAGCACTAGCAAACGTCACGGGGGCTAGCGGACTAAAATAGAAGTTTGGAGGACACCCTACGAGGGTGCACAACACTGTCAAGGTCAGACTTCTCCTTGCCTTGCATATGAGGGACGAAGTACGGTATCTACAAGGTCGAGTGACCGATATATAGGGCTTGGAATACAGACGCGGGGAAACTCAGGGAGCAGTCCTCCATCAATCGCATGCACATTGGGGAGGGGGATCCGTTTTTCACTCTTATCTACATCTGCATCTTTTGTGTTCACCAACCGACTGGCTTCCCCCCCCCTCGGGGGAAAGACCCATGGTGATGAGGCCCTCTTAATGAGCAAGCCTATAAACATGATTCTCACCTGATGATTTGCACGAATTGTGACATGGAAAGTTCTTGTGGAACGAGGAACTTGGTCTTATCCAACAAAGGCAGGGTAGTTTCCTTTTGGTACCTTTCCACAATGACCTAGAAACGTAGGAGTATAATGCATAACTGTTGCTCGCTCAGTGTGACTAGAATGAAGTTCGTGACATAATTCCAAACTCACTGGGATTTTGGATGGGAACTTGGCTCGGATCGAGGCCACTTCGCTTCTCCTCGTTGCTGTCAACAGAAAGCACAATGGGGAATTGAGAATCAGCCTTGAGAAAGACAGCGGCTGACAAGAATGGCCTTCACTTCGAGATGAACTAACCGAAGGACTTTCGCTGCTTGTAGGATTTGAACTCAGTTGTTTTGGTAATGTTGTAGTTCTTGTCCGGGTAGTTGCGAACGTAGCTACTGCCGTTGCGGAGATGCTGGTTTGGATCTGGATTTAATCTCATGTTATCTCTTGCTCTAGTGAGCACACGCGGGCGATGGACCACAAACAATTTTTTGTCGCTCCTGAACCGAATAGACCCCTCTCACACACTGCAGGACACGCGTGAAACGTAGAGATTCTATGCGAGACACGCCCAAAACAGAGCCTGAAGAGGAGAAGAGGGACGAGGACCTAGGCACAGACAGACATGTCTGCATGGCCTGACTGAGACTGACCGACCGGCACCGACACTCACTCCCTCTTCCCCCCCCCCACGTGCCAAAAAGCTGCTTCTCTCGCTTTCACTGACGTCACGTTCCTTCTGCTTCCTCATTGGTCCTCGTTCTGGGCTTGCTCCTCGCCCATAGGTCTCGGCTTTTTCGGCTGTCATATGATTTCGCTTCCCTGTTTCGCCCCATCATAAAAGAAATGGTTTTCATCCGGTCTAACCATTTTTATTCCGCCTCGTGGGCTACTGCGGGAGATGCGGAAGCAGACGAGCTGGCGACGTGCAGTCCATCACGTCTCCGTAAGGAATAGGGATAGAACTAAGCCTAGGAAGCGTGAGAGATGGGAAGGGAGGGGGTGTGGAGAATGGGAATGGAGATTGGAGTGAGAGCGCAAGCAGGGTGTATGGAATGGAATGGACTGGAAGCGTGACAATCTCCTGGAAGAAGGCATACCCGGAGGGCCTTGTTTCCATGCGATACCAACGACTTACATCCGTATACGATAGACGTGAAAGGGTACTTTTTTTTACTGGCTATTACCCCCGCGCTCCCTTTCTCGTTCTATTCATTCTTCCCCTTACCTCCTTTCTTTCCTCTATATATGGCTCTTGCAACATTCACAACGTTCTCCTCGTGCCGGGATCACATTTTGCCTCCGTCAACATACAAAGCTAGTACTTAGACTCGAGGTCGAAGTCCCTTCGTCCTTGCTCATCAGGAAAAGGGTACGGCGAGAGCAAGCCCAGCTTGCCGGCACGGAACAGCTGAGTGTCAACCCATAAACAGACCGCTTTCCTACGTGAGGAGAATGAGGATCTAACTAGATGCTGGGCGACCTTGTCATGGCGATGACCCTCCTCCCTCCCCTCCACGTCAACAGGAATCCCAACACAAGAAAATCCTCAGGCCTTACTTCCCTCCCAGTTTCCCATCCAAGTATGGATGAAATGAGGAACTCCAATCATGTCGATGAACTGGTTTATTCTCTTACGGGTCTTTCCCCAAATACAGATATGATAAGACAGTCCCACATTCCAGACAAGACAACAAAGGACAAAAGGAAAACAGAAGTCACCAGAAATAAAGAAAGTGTGCTTGAATGCAAAGAAATGACCTTGCTGGTATCACAGTGCCCGTCTTCCCAAGGTTGAAGAGACAAAGACAGGAGCACAGAGACAGAAGCAACCGGAGAGTCCTTTATCTTGCTAATTCAGATGGAATCCTTTCTCCCTGGTAGCAGCGAGGAGGCGTTCTCTTAGGATTTCTTCACTTGAGTAATCAGGAAGTTTTAGGTAGTGGACACAGGTGTTCACAGATGGATAGCTCCCATCGCCAGCATCTACTTTGCGGACTATGGTGAGTCGAGGGTAAAGATTGGCCAAACCACCAGGTGGTAAACTGGAGCAGCCAGTGGTAAACTGCAGAAAGGCCTTTCTTTCTTCTCCACTCATCCCAAACAACACATTCACCAGATGCAGAAAGCCAGGACTGAAACCAAAGGTGGGAGTCAACAACCAAGACAACATGAAACAAAGAACGAAAATTGAAAAAAGCGTATCTTTCTAAGGGATACCTTTCTCTGGTGAATCCCAGCTTGGGTTCAGTGTAGGTAAGGAGGTCCTGTCGTGTCCAATGTGGCTGTTGATCACCACAGACCATCAGGCGGATCTCTTCGGGACTGAATGCACCTAGACGCTCCACGGGGAATACAAGATTGAATCCTTCGTAAAAGGCATCCAGTTGACGACGGATTCCACGATTGAGACAGAAGTCCACAATGCAGTCCACATATTCCTCTACATTCTCCAGAGTGACATAAAGATCTTCACCCCCCGGTTTGAGGTCGGCAGATTCATATCCAAAGACTCGGGAAGGAGGGGAATACTGGAAGGTGAGACACAAATCATCTAAATGCACTAAAGGAGATGAGGAGCGATCTCCATTCTCTGATAATGGGAGTGCCAGATTCTGCAAGAGGTTGGTCTTGTCCTCTTGTGACAAGGAATTGTCATTGAGGATCTGACGCCTTTGAGCTCCAAGCTCTCCCAGCTGATCCAGGAATCGAGCTCTAAGAGGATCTATTTCATGTAGATCTTCCTTAGTCAGAATCCCAGCATACCTACACAGCAAGCAAAATATGTCAATTTAGATTTCAATTTCCTCTTCCAGCAAAGCTGTCTTCCAAATCAGGCATTACCAAGGGATATCATCATCATCTTGAGATCCAGTAGGTGGATCCAGAAGGGCTTCCTTGTCACTACATTCAGAGATGAGAGAAGATGTCATGGGATCATCACACACACGATGGGGTGTCCCATCTCGACTCCTCCCTCCAATCAGAAGCCTGGATCAGAGAACCACTTTGTTATAGAGTAATTTTCACAATGGGATAGAATCATATTATGAAAGCATTGCAGTCCTTTGGCACCTGTCTTTGATAGCACTGCTGACATCTCCTTGACAGAGAAGTTTGAGGAAAGGTCGAGAGAAAGGGAAGTCAATGAGACGGCTGTCTTGCAAGACTTTGGCCAGGAAAATTCCAAAGAACCTGCACAAAATCAAAGGAAATACAGATTTTTTTTCCAACACTAGTACAAGAACAACAGAGTGGAAACCATGAGAAGGGAAAAACCTGAGGAGCCGACAAGCTCGATCACAAGCAGGGCTGTCCTGAAGAAGAGGGGCTGGAAAGAGTCCACCAGGTCGTTGGATGTAAAATCCAGGGGGCTTTTCCTCTTCACCAAGGATCAGTGATGTTGGAGACATGGCAGATTGAATATGATCTTCATCACACAGCCACATCCCAATATCTCGTCTTTGAAACTCTGCTGCCACAAGGGCATAGAATTCCAACGTAGGACCTAGACCAGTACCTTCTTCACCAACAAATTCGACCTAGAAAGAAATACAAGTAGTTGTGTCATGGCATGTCAAGAGTTCACGACCAGATGATGGAAGGGCACAATTGATTCACCTCAAGGATGCTCTTGCGAGACGCATGGAAAGTCATGATTTGCTCAGCCCAAAGGAAAAGATCTTCCTTTCTCCGAGGGACCTTCACTCTCTCGTGCTTAAGCCTTCCAAGTCTGAATTCATGTGGGTCATCCCTTCGACTGGCCATACTGGATCCCATGGTACCAGCTGTGCTTCGATGACGCTCCAGTGCAGCATCGCGCTGGTTCTGCAGCCACACAATTGACCTGAATGTGAAGAAAAATTGGAGGTTAAAAAAATGTCCTCTGTTGATGAACCTGATCATGATTGAGCATTGTAGACATTGAGGTACCTTGAAGCACCAAATGCAGTACATGAGAAGTACAGGAGTCTGGTCTCAAAGGGGAACAGCATGGGACAAGTGTAGGTGAGTTCATGACACCACTCTGGTAGGGCATCACATGAGAGTACCAGAGGATCTTGCACCTGCTGAACCAATTTGTTCATGATCTTCTTGCTCTGGAAATCCTCTCCAGCAACTTTTAGAATTGATGAATCCTTTGTACTTCCAATGTCTGGGAAGGCATTTGAAGACCCACACATAATAGTCATTTGCTCCATGAATGATGAATGAAGAACCAAATCAGAGAAAAACTCACAAGATTTTGTCTCTGTGAATTCAGTGAGAACATAGACATGACGCAAAAGATGAAGAACTTCCTCAACCGAGCAAGCATGTCGAGGACTCTCTATGCTGCTAGATGGAACTTGTGGGAGAGGTTGAAAATGTGGCAGATGCTGATGGGGACGTGACAAGATCATCACAGGGTTGTTATCAGAGTCTAAGGCCACAGATCCTGATCGACTTCTTAGTTCCTCACTTTCTTTCTTTTCTCGATACACGATTCTGATGGGCAGGAAAGGTAAGCACCTATGAATATAGACAGCTCCATCACAGGGGATTGAGTGAAGGCAAAGAAGCATACGTATATGTGGGTTCCCAGACCCGACGAAGCTTTTCCTGCCTGGATCCATGAGAAGAGGCTTGAACAAGCCTTTGCACAGCATTAAAGATGGTCCATTCTGAATGCCTCAATGGAACTTCAACATCATCAACCTATGAAAGAAAAGCATTCATTGCTTCAATTTAGTGAATCTAAGTTAATTCAAAACTTTGGATTAATCAAAGTTAATTCAAAACAGTCTACTTACACCAGGTATTGTTGGACCCTTGAGAACAAGATGCAATTTTGGTTGGGGCACAAGATCTTGTTCATGATGCATTTCTCCTGGTCCTTTGCAAGATTCCTGACCAGGTGGAGGGATATCAATGTCAGTGGTCTGATTGACATTTGTACGGCCAGGTCTGGGATCAAAAGCAGGGATTAGAGCAGAGAAGTGACGTTTCAGAACAAACTCATCATCCCAGCTTCTCTTTTTCCCAAGGCGAAAGTCCAGACAATCCTCATACTGGAAAATGAACAAAATACATTACAGATCATGGAATCAAATGAATGCTCTTCAAGCAGTAAAAAATGAAGAGAGATATACCACAACATCCTCATAGTCCTCCATTTCATCATCATCCTGGTCATCTTCATTCTCATCATCATCATCTCCCTCTCCTTCCAATTCTTCTTCATCATCCAACTCCGCAAAGAGAGCTGGAGCTCTGCATGACTCCATGAGATCCTAAAGTAAATAGATCAATCAGAGTTCCTACCTGTCTGTCCCTGGAGTGTATTGGATGCTATACCAGTATCAATTACAGCAAGGCTGAGGAAGCCTACCTGTTCACTGTCACTCGAGGTGGATGTGAGACTCATAGTAAGGGCCTGAGATAGTGACGTCTGAGGATTGGTAGCTGTTGTAGAAGAGGGAACAACAGTGGGGGCTCCACTTGCTGCCATGTTCTGGCATGCCCCTGGCACTGAAAGGCTTGGGTAACTTTGAGCAGTGCTTAAGAATCCTCCTACAAAAACACATCACCAATGTCAAATGTATAGTAAAACCCACAGGAATTACAGAAATTTTTATATGAAACGAACCTGTGAAGTTGGAGGATGAAAGTGCAAGTCGAACAAGGCTTGTCACAGAATTTGGACCCCTAGGGAAGAAGTTGCTGGTACCATTGGATGCAGATGTGGAACCTGGGCTTCCTATGTTACTAGACCTTCCCAAGAGAGCTGAAAATGTTTCCAAGAGGCTGCTTGTGCTACCAGAGGCTGACTGCTCATTGCCACTGAGATTGGGTGCACTGACACTGATGGGATTTGGAGGACGACTTCCATCCTTGGACTCATCACCCTGAAGCTTCTCATCATCTGCTGTTGCCTCTGAGCCTGTAGGTACTTTAACACTCAGAGAAACTGGAGGCACATTGGGCTCAGATGAGTCTGACTCTCCAGTTGCTGATTCAACAGTAACCTCAGGGACTGAAACAGGTACTCCTATTGGAGGAGGTGGTGGTTTCAGAGATGATTCTTCCTTCTCCAATTTACGCAAAATGCTCGACTCAGGTATGCATGCTTTGCGGGGCTGTAGAGGATGTTCCCGTCTGGCATGGTGTCTGGTGCGACCAAAATCTGCAGCTGCTCGAGCCAGTGCCAGGTTCTTGTCATTGTAAACTTCTTCCTTGGTTGCAGGAGGATCAATGGACGGCAGGCTGCACATTGCATTAGTTGCAGCTAGATTGGATTTCAGGGAATGGCTGTAAAGCATGCGCTTTCGAGGTGGTAAGTGTCGGGAATGAGTGACTGGTGTGGGTGCTGATGAGGCCACAATGCTGCTTGCCAATGAGGAGACATTGCTCAATGCCTCCATTGCCTGCAAATGTATGAACACATTCATTACAAGTATCATGATTATTGCAAACATTTTGTTTTCCCTTGCCTCTTGAAATTTTAGAACTATCAAAAAGGTGCTCTAGTTTCAACACTGACTACTCCTTCACATGCTTCAATGGGAGGAATTCACGGAGGAAAGCAATGACAAAAAAACTGAGAAAACTCTTTTTCTCTTGAAGGTAATTAAAGGTAATTAAAAAATGCCAATGCAAGCTATGGCATTTATGCCTCTCCCACTTTGCACTGTCCAGCATGACCTTGAATTAAAAGAGAAAAACAGACTTGCTTTCCATATGTAGGGGGATCTGAGCCTCAAGGAGAGACAACCCACAAAATCGCCTAGTTGAGACATGAAAGCGTGAACATCCCTTAATTTTTGTTGGTACCACTCTTAACCTCGTACATAACATAATGCAAAAAGTCCTATTGAATAATGCTGCTCCATAACATTATGGACAGTTAGTAAGTGATATGAAGAAATGCTTTTGAGACCTGAGAAACAGAGGTAAGTAGTCCGAGGTTTTGATCTTCCAGTTCATCCAGATGGGCTTCAGCCAAACTCATGGCCTCCATGATGGCTTCAAGCTCAGATTGTGTCATGGATACATGACCCCCTCTAGTCTTGGATGCACCATCACCAGATGCCATGACAGGTAAGCCACTTTCAGCTGCAGCATGCACAGTGGCAACAGTAGTTGTTCTCCGTGGATGCTGACTCTCGTCAGTAGCCATGGCTTCACTTCGTGCCAGTGATAGTACCCTCTCTGCCACCATCTCTGCTGCCTCCTATTTCAGTTGAGAATTTCTTGGAATGTATTTGACAGAGGAAATGAGGATTAGACTATGTTCTAAGATGTACCTTTGCAGACAGATTGTCAGATGAGGCAGCCTGTTCAGTGGATGCAACAGAACCGGTGGCAGCAGAACATGAAATTGCAGCAGCAACAGAAGGTGCGGTGGCATCAGGAAGACTTGAAGTTGAACTTGCCTTCCGACTGGTCAACACTGTCCCAGTCCCTGATCCAGAACTTCCATCTGCCTTTACAGTAGTTCCTCTGTCCAGGACTTTTGCTAGTCTTTGCAGGAACTGACCTTCTCCTACAAAAGACAATATTTTTTGACGGCAAGTCATGATGCTTTAATGCTTGACAGCTTTTAAAACACACCATCAGGTGGGAGAGGATGTGGAAGTGCACCCTCAACCTCATAGCCAGGTGCCAACTTGAGATCATACTTGCCTTCAGCTCCCATTCGATAGGAATTGGATCCACCATGATCCCAGGCCACATCAATCCAACCTGCAACAATATTTGAACATGATGTTTCAATGCAATATCTCTCATTCATATAACGGGCTGGAGTAAACAGGACAAGGGATGTTACCATTGTGTAGTTCTCCAGTTATTGTTCCTTCGCCTGGTGGATTCCCATCCTGGTCCCTCCATTTCCAATCCACGCCTCGAATGACTCGAGCACCAGGTAACATGTACTTGATCTGACCCTTGAGAACGCGTCTCTGGCGTCGGAGATTGGCTTCAGCTTCTTTGGCTGCCTTGCCTTTCATGAAATCCAGAACACCTGATGTTATTACATCTGGATAGGATCAAATATGCAACCAATACATATCTTTGGCTACACTTACCAATATCTTCACACACTCCTGTGATAGAGCCATAAATCTCAAAGCCAGAGAGAGATAAATAGTGAGTCTGCCCTGAGGAATTCTTCCCATTTTGCTGGATTCGGAAGTGTCTCCATCCTTGAATCTCATCAGCTGAAGTAGAGATGTTCCAGGAACCAGTGCTTCCAGGCTCATTCAGCATGCAGTCATCAGTGTGTGCAGATAAAGTCACCCAGTTCACTCCATCTTTGGATGCCTGTAAAGTTTTTCCAAATTACAATCATTAAGTATCATGATATTGGATACTTTAAGGAATGAACATGATCAGAATTTCCTGAGTTGCACCTGGAGCAGCCAATTTCGAAGGGCAGAACGTCCATATCCTCGTGCATGCCTCAAAGTATAGCAGGTGGGAATAATCCAAAGTCCCATATCAATGGCAAACCAAGCCTTCTTGTCATCATTTGTGTGACAGTTCAATGCTGAGGGATCTCGGCTGAGGATGTCCTCCAATCGACCATAAGGAAGATTGCGGCCATCTGATGAAGTGATCACTACCAGTCCATACTGGCCAGGGTTCACCCATTCATATGATGTCCTACAAAAAATAAACAATTTTCCCTCAGACTCAAGAAATTAAATACTGCAGATGAGAAGAGCAAAATGTACATACTTTCCATTGGTTCCAATCCAATAAATGATCCCATTTTCGTCAAAGTCCTGCTGGTGTGTGAACACAGGAGCTCGACCTTCTCGAACCATTTTGACAAAATTGAAGGTGGATCTATCAAAGTCATACCACTGCTTTGCCACCATTTTGAGCAGATATCGCTCCAGCTGTTCCACTGTTGCCAGAGGTTCCATTTTGAGACTCCGGCCAGATCGATCAAAGAGTTCACTGTCTCCAGGCGCTCTCTCCAACCGGAATCGTAACCGACGTGTTAGGACCTATGCAGCATCGAGTTGCAATAAGTTGTAGAGGTCCTTTTGTAACTGCATCTTTCAAATATGGATTTCCTTGGATGGAAATCTTCAATTACTTTGGGAGAAGGGCAAATTACAAAAAAGCTTAGGGAATCAAAAGCCATGGTACCATTCTGCATCTTTCCTATTCCTATTATTGCAGAACAAGGAAAAGAAAGCAAGGTGATTTTGCAACCATGTTGGATGCAACATGTTCTGAAAGTTATTTGAAAAAGAGAGAAAAAAGAGCCTGAATAAGTCTTCTAATGTTGTTTTAAATATTCTCTTCACACCAGAAGTGATTTGAGATCATCACCCTTGGAAGAACCCATACTGGCATCGACTCCAGTAGTCCCCTTCAGTTTCTTCAGCTTTGCATTTGCATTATTTAAATCGATTTTTTCTCTTTAAAAAAATCAAATATTCATTCATGCCACTAGGGTACCAGAGTTGCAGTTGCTTTTATACAAAATGTAATATTCACAAATTTAGTGAACTTTCATGCTAAGGCTCTTCACAGATCACTTGGCATGGACAGATCCCTCAAAGAGCCCTGGCTGTCCCCATCCCATTCTCTAGCTGTCCACCTGTCTCAAGGTTGGCACCCCTGGTGGGACTCTGCATATCTTAGATTCTCTCCCTCCAACCTCTCTCCTTTGCATGTTGTAGACTTTTATTTTTCTTGGAGGGAGGAGTGGGGTTAAAGATATTCTTTATTTTAAATTATAGAAAGAAATTTCTAGATAGGACTCTTTTTATATTACTACATAAAAAAAACTGAGTGCTCTCCCTGAGCTTCTTGAGTGGACATTGTCCTCTCTTTCCTTGTTCATTGCTCAGAATTCCATGCACCAATCAAGACAAGTTCCTTATAGTTTGGAGGTCTCTCAGTTCCCCTTTGATTCAGTATACATGATAACTCTTGTAGGAGTTTTGATAGGGCTATCAAGGAAAGTTGAAAGTGATTGTCCTGTCTGCTGCTTCTCCACCACTGGTTTTTCTTTTTGGAATGGTGTAATGTAATTTATTGGCCTATTCTACTCTCAATTATTCATACATTGACAGAATCTATCTGCCAAGATGATGATAGGATGTACTTTGAGACCACAGCAAACACACAACCTCTGGGTGGTTGTATGTGCTGATGTGATGAACTTCATCCAAGGAATAAGACTAACCTGTTCAGGGATACTAAGCATAAATGTGGATGTTTGATTCAATGTATTTTAAATTGGTCAAAAACTGAGCCCAACTGCTCAGATGCCACAGATGTTGGCAATTTGTTGGGAGTTTTCATTGCAATTGGTATCACTGTTCCCCAGCTAGCAAAGTGCTCTACACCTGCAACAGTTTTTAAAATATATTTCTGTGTAAAAAAATTCCTCCCTGAAGAGGTTAAAGGAAAAAATGCTGTTCTTAATAAACATCCAGAAGTGGAATAGGGGATTACTTGCAAGTTGAAATTGACACATGCAAAGGATAAGAAATGGAGACTTCCAACTGATATGATGCCAACATTATCCATTTGATGATACACAAAGTAGATCTGCATTTCTGACCTGTAGTCCATATCCAGAACCAGGAGAATCATAGATGTAGACAGGCAATTTTTCAATGGATTCCAGCACTGCCACAAGTTTCTTGACAAGGGCAGCTCCGGGATTGATGACTGAGCCATCTGATTCCATTCTTTCCTGGAATATCAGATATTTTGTCAATATTTGCATTCAGCAGAGCATAACGTTATTATGAAATAGTCTTTCAACATACTGAGAAACACTTCTTGAATACAGCTGTTCTCTTTCGGATGAGTTTGTGGCCTCGCCGGGAGTCACGTAGAACTTCATCTCCCACCAGCAAGCGGGTGAGAGCAGGGATTATGCCGCTGGTGTGCAACTCAAATGCAGACATCACCCGTTCATCTCTCAAAATCTCAGTCAAATCTGATAGAGCCTCTTTCAGTATCCCTTGCCACTCAGTACACTTCTCACGACTCTCCTATGAATAAAATGAAAAAATTAGCAGTGATTTCTTAAATTCTTGCTGCTTCCAAGAGATAATCTGATAGTTAGAAGCTCAGTTATAAATCCTCAGCACATTTCTCAGTCCATCTAGTAGCTATCAACATCATGGCAAAATTCCATATTTCCTTAATGAGATTCCTGTTTCAGGGGGATTGGATCTCACCTGTTTATGGCATGACAATTCAATGTGAGCCACAATACTACCTAATGTGGCCACAACTCCTCTGGGCTTGGACTGTGCTATACGGAAGTATCTCTCATAAATGTTGTTCGCCTGACCTTTAACCTGAAATATGATGAAAGAAAAGAAAATGATTTATTGTTTGGCAGTTTCAGCAGCTAAAATTGAAGAGAACCAAAGGCATACCCTTATCCGAAGAGCTTCCACTTTGGAGCGGAACTTCTTGCTTCTTCTTCCTGACCAGCCAGCTGAAAATTCTGGGCCAAGTGATGTCTCAGCAATGAAAGAATGCTTTGTGCCCCGGTTAGATTCAAAGATGAAGCCTGGGAGGTCTTCACGCAAGATTGTCACCTGCTACAAAAAATGACAATTAAATATGTTACATCTCCATTCAAAAGTTAAAGTTAAAACATAGAATGAACATAGCCTCACCTGCTGTCCATCAGCATTATGAACAAGAAGTTCTCCCTCCTTCTTGGAAGACAGAGTCCAGTTCCCAACTTGGATCTTGGTTGCACTGGGAGAGGAAAGGATAGGCTTGCTAGGCATATTTCCCTTTACCTGAGATCGAGCACGCTGTAACTTTTCCAAGAATTCCCCTCGATTCTCTGCAATGTCCATAATTCAACATTTCCACCATCCCAAAAATAGGGTAGGAGTACCCAAATCCCCAGAAAATTTTGTGTCATGGCCAACCTGAGCTATCAGAGCCACCTTCAGGACTGCCACTGGAATACATGGTGGCCAGTTTTCCATCCAAGATGAAGCGGAACCAACCATTGCTACCATTGGATAACTCCAGAGCAGCAGCATCTGACCAGATGTAAAGACAGTCACGACCACGAGCAATGCACCAGTCACGCCAAGTGTATGCTTGACCAAGGACCACTTCCTTAGCATCTTCCTGCTCTTTCTCCTCAGGAGTTATTTCCTGTACAAGTGAAATTGCCATGAACAAAAATAATACTTAGGTCTGAAATCAACAAACATGGGAGGCAAGTATACTCCAATAAAGATTTACTCACTTCTTTCTCTGTGGCGGTTATGCCATCTTCTGGAGGTCCGGCAAGAGCAAAAACTTTGGAGAAAAGGCCCAAGCGGGCAAAATGATCAAGGAATACTTCCTGTGCTTTCCGCATTAGATCCTCAATGGTTTTCAGTGCTAGGGAATGCCCATCTTCATCCTCCTGAAAAGAAAAATGCAGTATTGAAAGGAGTCAGGAGGGAAGAACATAGGAAGTTTGACAAATTTCCAAAAGGAAGTCAATGAATTTCTTAAATAACAAACCTCATTGTCTAAAATGGTTGCAATGACTTCAACAAGCAAGGTTGCAAAGTCAGCTCCATATGCTTCATCAGTGACCATTTCCAGCAAGAGAGGACTCTGAATATAGTAGATCATTTTGCGAATGAGGCCAAAGCTGGCTTTGCGAATAGACTGAATCATTGTTGCATGCAATGTGTGGCAGAATGTGGGCAAGAGATGTTGCAAATAGATTGGAGCCATCTCAGGGTCTCCCTTTGGTTCTCCACTGTCTGACTCAAGTATCTCTCCCTCACCAGGAAATTTCTTTCCCTTCTCCTCTACAGGGATCATCCATTCACCTGAAAGACAGAAATTAGTCTATACTTCCTTGTTCAAGAATACTCGTAAACTCCAATGAGAATATGCATTCTACCGGGTGACTGAAGAATAGCTGCCACCTCCCGATGACCTTCATCATTACGTTCTCTGGCCTTATCCAAGGGGGTCTTTCCATCCTCATCACGAAGATCAGGATTAGCACCATATCGTAGAAGCACCTTTGCAATCTGAGGTCGTCCAAAGCATGCTGCATAGTGGAGTGAAGAGCTCCTCTGACCTGATGGAATTAAAGAGCCTAATGATCAATTCTGAAAGGCATTAGATGGACAAGTCCACAGATATGGCCAATGAAGCATCATCAAGAGGATCATAATAAATTGTCCATTGAGTAAATTCCTACTCTATCTGTCCTCCTCCCACACCAAGCCTTGCCTCATTTTTCACTTGAATTGTACCAAAATATGTTAACTTTAGCTGTTTAGCAGATTTCTAAAATCCAAGTAAAATTTACTTCTTTTGCTAAGACACATCCTGCTTCCAAAGTGCCTCCTCTCTCAACAGATGAGAACTAAACACAGACCTCAGAACTCCAAGGAAAGCTGGTGAAACTTTGGAGATATGTAACTAAATGCAAATAAGTTGGGATTATAATGAATTACTATTATGTGCCTTTCCTGTTCAAAACTTTCAAATATTTTATTAATTAGCAATGCTGAGTTCCTAGTAATAGAAATTCAAAGGACTGTATTACTTGCTATGAACCACTGTTTAAACCCTTTCACTGTTACACAAAAAAATATCCACCATTCACCCTGTGTTATAAAAGTTGGAATCGTTTACCTGAAAACAATGGTATATGCAAAAAAGTGTCATATCATGAAAACTAATAAATATAGTGATACATGCATAAATAGCAGCGAAATAACAAAGAAACAGTGAATGGTCAGAACCCAAGAACATACTTGAGTTACCACCACACAAGCCCAAATGTGTACACAGGCAAACAGCAAAAGGGCTAAACAACTTCAGCAAGAATAACCAAAGAGGAAACAACAAACCTTTGTTGACATCTGCTCCTCGTTCACACAAGAATTCAACCATCTCCTGAGTGCCAAAGGCTGATGCCCAATTCAGAAGGGTTTGGCCAACATCATCCATAAAATTGACCTCCACACCTTGACCAAAGAAGCAATTCATATACATTATATACCAATGGATTCAAGCTGTGAGCATCATGGAAAATATCAAAATGTCAAAAAAGACTTCTAGGTGCAACTCTGATGTAATGATTTACCTCCTTGATCAATGGCATCTACAAGAGCATCTGTATCCTTGCTTCGAATGCAGTCTATCAACTGCCGATGTGTGCGGTCACCAGCTGAATCCATTCGACGAAGAGATGAGAGCCGTGATGCAACAGCTGAAATGCCACTAGTGGATTTTGGCAATGCCTTACGACCCTCAAAAAGGAGCACCAGAAGCAAGTCCACAAGTCGCATTGTGTCCAAAACACACCTGTTTGATAAAGTGATTATAGAAATATGAAAATGACATACAATTCCATACTGCATCAATCTGATGTCTAAAGCCTCACCTCTCATCACCTTGAAGAGCTACTTCAATTGCATCGGGTAATTCTGACCGGAGGAGGTCCTGGCAGCAGAAGAAAAGGGAATAATTTCCATCATAACAGTGCCACAAGACTGAATGCACAAAATCTAAGTAGCTGTTGTTACATACATGTGTGATGGATGGAGACCCACGGCACAGAGTGGAGAGGAGGCTAATGATGGTTGACACACTAGGAGAAGAGGACTTTCCCTCTCCTCCACCACCAGGAGTGCCAGATACTGATACATTTTGTGATGTGCCCTGAGCTGCCCTTGAAAGGCGGGCCAGAAGCTCATTCACAAGTCCATGTGCTGCCAAGGGTGCAGGATCACATCCACGACGTGTGAATCTATCAGCTAGAGATGCAAAGCATCGCAATGCTCCATCTGCCACCTGAAATTTAAAAAAGTCACCATATACACACCTCATATCTGTGCTTCTCCTTCTTTCCCTGTCTTCCTATTTTATTCTACTTTGTTAGAAATATTGTAGGAAAATGTCAGGTTCAACTGCCAATATGGCATTACTTGTGCTCTCAGCATGTTTCCACTTGGCCAATGCCAAGCTCCTTCCCAAAATGACCATATACCTGTGCAAACACAGTCAAGCACTAAACTCTCCCATTTCATTTTAAAGTAAAGAACTGGTATTTCCTAGCTCTTTCACCAAAAAAATCATGATTGAATTTTGACATATTTTGCAATGGCTGAGACTTGGGTTGAAAGATGCCAATGGGCATTCTGCTAGAGTTTCACTCTGTTTGAAGAATGTGTGGACCTAGGGAAAGGACTACATGTTTTTGTAGATAGTATGCTTCTTGTACCCCTATGAAAAAAAAAGCTTAAACTTTACAAGAGCATGATTCAGCCAATCTCTGCCACAGCATTTAGTTTCGACCATAACAGTAAGAAAAAAATTCACTATCTGGCTGGGATAGTAGGTTACTTACATGACTATCTTCATGCTTCAGTAAAGTGGACAGGGATTCAACACAAGAAGAGAGGCTAGGGTCTTGAGGTTCCATTTTTCCACAGAGACGAGATACCACTGCCATAGCAGAATGCAATGTGTCCTTGTGAACTAGGTGTCCATTGTCTCGGATGAATGATAAAACACAACTTAATCCCCCTGCTTCAAACACAGCTCCTGCTTCTCTGGTACAAATCAGCTCCAAGACCTAGAAGGAGGATTTCAAGCATTGACATCTCCAGCCCCATCAAGAATAGCACTCAGCACTGTAGCTCAAATATGGTGCAAATGCCCATAATAAGTAGAGCATAAGGAAGGAAATTGAATTACTTTAATGCATTGTTCAGCAAGGTCCTTGCTTGTTCTCTGTGAAACATCCACCACCACCAGCCGATTGCACATGGCTTTGATGGCTCCATCAACAGCAACAATGCGCCGAGTGCATTCAGCAGACACATCCAGGTAGTATGTGATGGCTCTCGCTGTCACTTCAAGCACGTTATCAGGAGCACACTCATCGAGGAAGATCCTGCATAATGCAGGGAGGAAGGTTCTGGGAGGGCAGCTGAAATAATAGAATTGTTGAGTTCAACATTTGCTTTTCTGGAAAAATGGCATGCAGTTGCTCACAAAAATGGAAAGAGGGGAAGTAACCTGAAAGCTCACCTTTCAAAACAGCGATCGACATTGTCAGACATGAGAAGTAGCATGCATAGTTGCTCAAGAGCTATCAGCTGCATGTCCCTCTCATCTCCTTGGCCCATGTTGAGCCATTCAAGAAGTGTCTCTGGATCTACTTCAGCCATCTTCTTAAAGCACCTTTTAGTTTATCAATTCCTTCACTACAGGCCTTCAAAGTCAAATGCCATGGAAGCCAATTGACTTGCTTTCTATTCCATGCATAGCTCAAGCCATAAACACCTTCATGAGCATATGCTTTATGACTATCTAAATGGGAATATCATTGGGTTGGCATTACCGGTCCAACTATTTCCTCCCTTTCAATCTGTGTGAAGAAAGAAGACTGCAAACTAGAGACAGTCAGAAAAGCATTCGGTACTTAAATTGACTTATAATAGTGCAATTAATTCCAGTCCCAAGACAGACCTATTATGCTGTTATTGCATTTAATTTGTGGAGAATGTATTGGAGTGGAGAATGCTTTACTTCCTGAGGATCTGCTTCAGATGATCCAAAACACTACCCCTGAGAAGGTTATCACAATCTGTAATTGATGGAAGCACTCCTATCAGGGAAGAGGCAGAGTACAAATTCAATCCAAAAACAGAGTAAGTAACTTACAGGGACAATCAAAGACATGGAAAGGGGTGCAATGAATTGTTCCAAACATATTATGAAGTTCTCTAGCACTGAGCAGATCAGGGCAGTTTTTCAAATTTTCATTAAAATTATGGAACATTCACTAGGCCAACTTTGGCTCTTGGTTTGTGAATCTGCTCCTGCACATACACTATTTTTGTTTGTTTTTTTAAAGTGTCTGGACAAGTATGTCTCTATACTTTCATTACTGAATGTAACTTCTCAAAGGCAAAGCCTGAAAAACTTACCTCAAATTAACTGAGAGCTTGGACCCCCTCAATAGGAGAGCTAATTGACTTCAAATATATCCATGTTCATAGATAGATTATACTCAATTAATCATTGATTTTTCTGAAAGGGCAGAGAAAGCATAATTCCAAACCAGCATGAGCTTGTGAATTTTGGGTGATGGTGCTTGAATTTCATATAAACCCTTTCAGTACCAGGTTTTCCAAAGCTTGCAGTGCCAATGGGATAAAGCTTTTTTCAGGTGAGCAGGCATTGTAGAGCTCAGATTCTTAAATGCTATAAGCATGTGATACACTTTAATTAGTAGTCATATGGGGTCATACTAACATGCAGTACTTGCAGGTGTGGCACCACCATAGCAATTCAAACAAAATTTGAAGACATATTGGCAGGGTTATGATCCCTGGGGTAAAAGCATGCAACCATCCACATATGACAGTGGTATTGAATAGGGTAATAAACAGCAGTGATCAAAACCTTCTATATTGGCCAATTCATAGCCTGACATCATGAAGCAATATGCTGAATGGGGGAGGGGGAAACTGAAGCTGAGAATGAGTCTACCCATGACACAATGATTTAGGGTTAGCATTACCAACTCAAAGACTAGACATATTAGTAACAACATATGCCTATGATTCCTATACTTTCAGGTGTTACCTATATGCCCTAGCAGTGTAGGAAATTTTTTTTCTCACACAAATGAGGCAACAAATGGGAATTTCCCAGGAAGGATATGCAAGTGGACTAAGCAGGCTAGGCCAGCCCTGGCCACCCATGCATCTCCATTCCCACGAACCTTGTTTGCAGGTTCGCAAGAGTTTTCATAACCAGTGCCCTAAACTTCTAGTTATTCTATGAATCTTGACAAATTACACATAGCTTCTTGCTTTAAGTCAGCCTTCACATGTAATTCCTTAATCATGAAATTTGATGGCATAAAATTCATGGTTATGAGGTTTATTACCAATCACAAACTAAGTCCAGTTCAGCTTGGGTATTTACAGACATATGGATGTTTTGAGTTGCCTGCATCATTTTACAATCAAACTAATGAAGTTTAACAGCCATTGATAGTTCTAAGAACAAATTTTTGGTTAGAATGTGAAATTTCCCATTAACAACATTTTTTGCCAGTTGTGTAAATGTCTTATATATATCATATATATGACATTTTCTCATAAAACCATGTATGATTTTTTCATATGGGACTTCTTTGGAAAATGTTAATTTTAGCTTCACAAGTACTTTGGAAGATGTCCTTACCTAAATTTTGAGAAGGGACAATAATTCATAAATATTAATGACTATTACCTTTTTCTGGAAGAGATGAATAAAAGAGAGAGCAGACAGAGTCAGCTATCTATTTCTTCTCCCCCACCAGAAAACAGGATTTATAGAGGTACAAATTTTCTATTGTTTATATTGATACAAATGTTGAACTAGCTGGTAGGGGAAGCTGCAATTCACAAAATAAAATAGATGAAAAACTATCATTTGTTATGGCATGTTGCATGCAGAAACAGTTGTCTGGTAAGTGTTATGGACCTTCCCAGTTTCTTTACATCATTCCCATATAGTGCAAATCACTTGTTGAAGTCACTCCTCTTTGCCTTTTACCTGAGTTGATTCAAGAGTGATTTCTTTTTTTTTACTCAGGTTTCATAACCAGTCCAACTCATTTGACAAAAAATTTAGCTCGCAGATCACATTTTGGTCACCCATCAGTCATCCATAATTAAATTTAGTCTAAAAGCACTTTTCAAGACACCATGTATAGTAATTTGTATTGTGATTTGAAGATATAAGGAAAAGGAAATTTTTGGTTAAACTCAATCTAGAACAGACTAATAACTTCCAGCTTCTTGTCACCCATCCTGAAAAGGATCATCTCAGAAAACTTACAATAAAAAAAATAATTAAATAAGATGTTGGCATGCCTAATTGCTCCAAATTATTTATTCCTTGATATATTGATTAAACTGTCTAAATCTAGGATCCTAGGCCCCTACTTACAGCAGCCAGGAAATATTTTCCTTCACCCCACCCTCCACATGGCTGAAAACATAACTCCTACCCATATACCAAGTATGAATTTGTACCACCTCCCCATAGTGGAGAATTGAGAAAACACAAAATTCCACAGATTCTGATTCATCGGGTGATACACAAAAGTACCCACATTACAAACTAGCAGAGGTATCCAGTGTTGCACGGGTAAATATTGTATACGTCCCATATTTGAGAGTGTAATGTTTTAATGCCTCTTTGGCAAACCCAGCTAGAAATTGTCTAAAATATGTAGCTTTAACTACACAACCAATAACAAAATTCCAGGAGCAAGCTGCATGTTACAACTTAAATTTTTTTAATGAGCCTCCAAAATTTTTACTCCTTGGGGGGTCTGTAGTAATGGATCAGCCAAATCTGCATTAAATATGGTACTATGGGAGGGTCTGAATTTTGAAACATCACCTAGCCTACAAACATCCACAGACCAAATGAAGAAGCCATGCAAAGTTTGGTCGGACTGGGATCAGAGGCAAGGCCATGCATAAAGGACAGAAACATACACACACACACCCACACTCTCTGAAATATATTAATAATAGCATAGATGATGTCACCATTTGCAATCAATGGAAGAGATTGGGGGATATGAATTCACTTTCAAAACAGTGTATAGGCCTGTTCCGCTTACAGTTAACCAAATGCGTCCAGTTAACTGAGCGCGAGTAGAATCACCTGGAATCTCAATTGATTGGGATTCCTATTATATATAATACACACCACACCCACCTCCCTAACCTAACCTGGTCTAACTTAAGGAGAAACACAATATCCCTAGAGGGTACAGCCACCTGGGCAACCCTACGCACTGCGTACAGTTAACTGTGTCTGATGGGCAACTGTAAGCGGAATAGGCCTATGCAGAAAATTTTAGGATATTACAATGGGCAACAGACAGCTGTTTTTACTGTTTACACTAATCAGGCTGTTTTCTTTCCAGTTGCCAAACCTCAAAACATACTTATTCCTGGTAAGTGGGAATCTTACAGTGCTGTTATTATGTTATAAACGTCTACTCAGTCATAAGTCTATGCATATATTTTAAGGGTTTGGGTTTTGGGCAAGGCTTGTGCATGGTGTTCCTGGATTGACTATTCCCTGTTTACATATGATTTTTACTTCTCTACAGGTTCCACCATTAAGCTGTGTAGTAGTCATTCCCTTGCTTATAAAGTGATACTGCTTCAAGCACACATAACCCTCCACCAATAGTGATGATTACCATCACTGGTAATACTAAATGATGTCACTGGAGAAGAGGGCTATTATATATAATACACACCACACCCACCTCCCTAACCTAACCTGGTCTAACTTAAGGAGAAACACAATATCCCTAGAGGGTACAGCCACCTGGGCAACCCTACGCACTGCGTACAGTTAACTGTGTCTGATGGGCAACTGTAAGCGGAATAGGCCTATGCAGAAAATTTTAGGATATTACAATGGGCAACAGACAGCTGTTTTTATTGTTTACACTAATCAGGCTGTTTTCTTTCCAGTTGCCAAACCTCAAAACATACTTATTCCTGGTAAGTGGGAATCTTACAGTGCTGTTATTACGTTATAAATGTCTACTCAGTCATAAGTCTATGCATATATTTTAAGGGTTTGGGTTTTGGGCAAGGCTTGTGCATGGTGTTCCTGGATTGACTATTCCCTGTTTACATATGATTTTTACTTCTCTACAGGTTCCATCATTAAGCTGTGTAGTAGTCATTCCCTTGCTTATAAAGTGATACTGCTTCAAGCACACATAACCCTCCACCAATAGTGATGATTACCATCACTGGTAATACTAAATGATGTCACTGGAGAAGAGGGCAGAGGGGAAGGGGATGTAATCTGGAAACATGATAGGAGTGGCTGTGCTTAAATATGTGGAGATGTGTGCATATACAATACCTGCCTAGTCTACACTCAAGGCCAACAATTATGAATCATAGAAACTTCTACATCCTGTGTTCAGATAAGTGTTTTCCACTAGTGTCAGACATTTCTTCACTGACTCAGATGCTTGAACACTCATGCATGAAGAACATGGAGTGTCCAAGACAACTGAAAAGCATAGTAATAAGTAATTGTAATTTGATCTTTCAATAAGCAACTTTCATACTTCAGATCCTTGGTGTTCACCAACCCAAATACATTCTAAGGATTTGTGAACATCAACGTGAATAGGTCTTTGACTCTACTTATGGAGTAACACTTAAGACCTATATCCAGCAGAAATGGTAGGCCTGGGTGCTTATCTAAGCAAGAGTAGTTCATGCCACCACTGCATGAGGCCTCAGTTAAGCATAACTTACGCTGACCTGAATCTTTATTTTAATGAAAATCTTGCATTTTTCCAAAACCCGTTA